TTCGTGTCCAAGCAAAGACTTCTAAGTCCAAGACGCTTCTGCTCAGCCTCCTCCAGGATTTAGAATCAATGTTTGGGAGAAGGATCTGGGGGCTTTTTATACCCACTCTCCTATTTATTTTTGCAAACTTTTCAGTTTTCTCTTACACTGTGTGCAGAGAGGCCAAGAGTGGGGCTGGTGGGATGGGGGAGTGGGGTGGTGGGGTGGTGGTGTGTGTGTGTGACAGGAGATCTTCTCCAGAGCCCTCTGGCATCTTTTCTGTCTCAAACCATAGATGACCTTAGAGGGGAAGCAGAGGAATCACTGTGGCTCACGCAGGCTGCCCTGCTCAGAGCCTCCCAGCTCCCCGATGGGTTGGTCTTGCAAGTCCAGCGGCAGGATTTCAAAGCAGGGCACTCTCAGCAACTCCTCACTTTGAGCAGTAACCATTTTCAAAGTGCCAGGAATTCTTCATGGTGAATCATTCCCTCTGACAAAGTTCAAGGAGTTTGGCAAGATTTTCACAATTCATGATGTTTCAGCCCAAAGGGCTGTGTGTTTGTGTGTGTGTGTGTGTGTGTGTGTGTGTGTGTTGGGACGGGGGGCAGGGGACAGTTATTGCAAGTGATTAAAAAAAACCCAATGGGGCAACTGGGTGGCTCAGCAGTTAAGCATCTGCCTTGGGCCCAGGGCGTGATCCCGGGGTCCTGGGATCGAGGCCTGCATCGGGCTCCCTGCATGGAGCCTGCTTCTCCCTCTGCCTGTGTCTCTGCCTCTCTCTCTTTCTCTCTCTCTCTGTCTCTCATGAATAAATAAAATCTTTAAAAAATAAAATAAAAAATTTTAAAAACCCAAATCACAGCACAGTCTTCACACTAAAGGAAACAACTTAGCTCGTCCATAGATACATTGATAGATGGTAAAGAGATAGATGACGGGCAGATGATGAGTGACCTCTTGTCCCGCCTGCCTGTACTGTCGCTATTGCCCTGAGAGGGAGCGGTGCTCTCAGCTTTCCCTGCGGGACAGGGACCGAGGTGGGGAGAAGTTCATGAACTGCCAAGTTCACAGGGCGGGACAGCGACAAGGCTGCGATGGGAGTGTTGGCTTCCTCCTCTGCGTTGTTTTTTTTTTTTTTTTTTTATAATAATACATTTATTTTTTATTGGTGTTCAATTTGCCAACATACAAAATAACACCCAGTGCTCATCCCGTCAAGTGCCCCCCTCAGTGCCCGCCACCCAGTCACCCCCCCCCCGCCCTCCTCCCCTTCCACCACCCCTAGTTCGTTTCCCAGAGTTAGGAGTCTTCATGTTCTGTCTCCCTTTCTGATATTTCCTACCCAGAGAATAGAAGGGAAGGGAGAAGAAATCTGTGTTGTTTATTTAGAGCGATTTCTCAGCTCCTCCATTTACAGATAAAAAATGACAGGTTCAGGGCTCCCAGCTGACTCAGCCGCCACAGCACACGCCTCCTGATCTCAGGGTCGTGAGTTGGGCATAGAGCTTACTTAAAAAAAAAAAAAAAAAAAGAAAAGATTAAAAAAAAAAAAGAATTGCAGTATACATTAATGTGTGCCATGACCACAGATTTGTATGGAATCAGTGTATGGAATGTATATATGAGATATATATGAAATGTATGGAATCATTTGTATGGAATTGTATATATGAGATAAAGGAGTAAGTAGAGACTTAAGTTGGTGAAACCCAAAAATTTCTAAAGATTTTGATTGGATTTCTGTGTCCTTTAGTAATTGTACATCGCAGCACAAAGAGATCTCTGTCCCTCTTCCCTCCTCCCCATTTCTTAACCTGCATCCCTCCCCAGACCCCAATAGTCTCTGAAATAATCAGTTACTTGGGCAAAATTTGAAGATTTTATTTATTTATTCATGAGAGAGGCAGAGACACAGGCTGAGGGAGAAGCAGGCTCCCTGCAGGGAGCCCGATGTGGAACTCGAACCCAGAACCCTGGGATCAGGCCCTGAGCCCAACTCAACCACTGAGCCACCCGGTGCCCCACTTGGGCGGAATTTATTATTTGTAGAGAGATAATACAGGCATTTTCCATAAGCATGGAAGAGACACATACACAGAGATAAATTCACCAAACAAGGAAAACTTGCTTTGGCAGGGACTTTGAGAAAGCTCCATAGCTATCCTCTATTGACTATGCAGTTGTGGTTGCTGGTTTTCTCTTAAATTGCTTCTGTACATGTAAATTGCACAATCAGATACATGTATTCTTGATTAATAAGGGAAGGAGAGCTAATAAAAACATCTCAAATAAAACTATTAATCTAGGAGGGGCACCTGGCTGCCTCAGTTGGATGAGCATGCAGCGCTTGATCTTGGGGTCATGAGTTTACACCCTATGTTGGGTGTAGAGATTACTAAAAATAAATGAACTTAAAAAAAAAAAAAAAACGGGACCCCTGGGTGGCTCAGTGGTTGAATGCCTGCCTTTGGCTCAGGGCGTGGTCCTGGAGTCCCGGGATCAAGTCCCACATCAGGCTCCCTGCATGGAGCCTGCTTCTCCCTCTGCCTGTGTCTCTGCCTCTCTCTCTCTCAATCTCTCTCTCTCTCTCTGTGTGTGTGTGTGTGTGTGTCTTTCATGAATAAATAAATAAAATCTTAAAAAAAAAAAAACCTACCAACATAGGACGTTCACCAAAGCATGCCATGTTATCCCTTGAAACGTAACCCATTTTTACCTGACCATATTTGTTTTGGGGATACAAGGAGATAGCCTCAGAAGAAATTCTGTCCAGTTTACAAAAATTAAAAATGAACAAAATAGGGACGCCTAGGTGGCTCAGTCGGTTGAGCATCTGACTCTTGGTTTCAGCTCCGGTCATGATCTCAGGGCTGTGGGATCCAATCCCAGTTGCGCTCAGCACAGAGCCTGTTTGTCTCCAACCACGACCCCCCCCAAAAAAAAAATAATAAAATCTTTTTTTTTTAATGAACGAAATATAGTTCTTGAAATTTGAGACACAGTTTTGTTTTTTTTGTTGTTGTTGTTTTTTTTTTTTTTATTTGACAGAGAGAGAACACAAGCCAGGGAGCAGAGGGGCAGGCAGAGGGAGAGGGAGAAGCAGGCTCCCGCTGAGCAGGGCCCCATGTGGGTGCATCTTTTTTGCCACGGTTCCAAAGATGAGGGGCTGCGCTCTAAAGTGATCTGCTATCGTTTTAATCCAAGACGCAAAGCCCCAGAGGCCTTCCCCTCTACTTGCTGTGGAGGGAAGGACAGTAAGTTTGTTAACGTGAAGGGTTGCCAACATGTTTGTGCAAAAGGCAGTGATTTTCTTCTTATTGAAAACTAACTATAATTCATACGCAGGATCGCATTTTTTGTATGCATGTTACTAACAGCACATTGCCATTTCTAGGTGACTTTGCAAGTACACAGGTTTTAGAGGTTTTCTCTTTTTTTTTTTAATTTTATTTATTCATTCATGAGAGACAGAGGCAGAGACACACGCAAAGCTAGAAGCAGGCTCCATGCAGGGAGCCTGACGTGAGACTCGATGTCGGGTCTCCAGGATCACACCCTGGGCCAAAGGCAAGCACTAAACTGCTGAGCCACCCAGGCTGCCCTAGAGGTTTTCTCTTAAATATAAATGCAAGTCAAACTATTGCTTAATTCCTGGTAGCTTTTCGCTGGTCAATATTTACAATTACAATTATGTGGACATCTTGAGAATTTTTTGACATTAAGAGTTCTCTGGGGGATCCCTGGGTGGCTCAGCGGTTTAGCGCCTGCCTTCGGCCCAGGGTGTGATCCTGGAGTCCTGGGATCGAGTCCCACATTGGGCTCCTGGCATGGAGCCTGCTTCTCCCTCCTCCTGTGTCTCTGCCTCTCTTTCTCTCTATGTCTATCATAAACAAATAAATCTTTAAAAAAAAAGTTCTCTGAAGATATATAGTTCTCATACCTGAAGACCGTGCGTCGTACCAAAGCTTTCCTGTGCTACTCCTCATATAAAAGAAGAGCACCAAAGGTGGCTTTTTGAAAAACTCCTAAACACCGGTGGTTCACTTCTGGCTCTGCAGAGGCAGGACAGGAATTACTCTTCCAGCAGGGCCTGGGTGGCTCAGTGGTTGAGCGTCTGCCTTTAGCTCAGGTGGTGATCCCAGGATCCTGGGATCGAGTCCCACACCCGGCTCCTGAGGGTAGGCTGCTTCTCCCTCTGCCCCCTGTGTGTCTGCTTCTGTGTGTGTGCCTCTCATGAGTAAATAAAATCTCAAAAAAAAAAAAAAAAAAAAGGAGTTACTCTTCCAGATACTCAAATCAAATCACAGCGATTGGCCCCATCCTTTATTGGGTCCATCTCCCGGCCTACTCCTGCGATGCAGTCCTTCACCCCCCCCTTCCCCCACTGTCCCAGCTGTCCCCCGTGGTATGGTCACCTCCCTCCCACCCGCAGCCCCCCTTCTCCCCCTCCCTATCTGAGGGAGGCAATTGACACTCCAGGGTTTCAGCCCGCAGCTACAGGAGTATTTTGTGAGTTCTCACACTCAAACAGGAAAGCCACTACTTCTGCACACGACTAGCTTGGGATGAAGCAATACTGGCTGCTCAGGGTTGGGTCAGAACTGAGTGTGAGGCCATCGTAAAGGAAACCGCACAGAAGCTGCCCTCGCCCGGCAGAGGCCCAGGGCCCAGGAGGAGGGGACGGCCCCCCTACCTCTAATGAGATCACCGATCTCTGGAGGTTGCTTTAAATAAACCCTCCCCAGGCACTATTGCAAGGCACTCCAGGCCTCAGCCTGGCATGCAGTTCTTCTTGTTCACTCTTTCCTCTCCCAGTCAAATGGGGAGTCCCCTGATGGCAGCAATCGTGCTAACTGATGGCAGCAATCATGTTCCATGTCCCTGTATTTTCCACTCTGGGGACAGAACTGTAACTGAGGAGGCAGTGGTCAGAAGGGGCCTGCTGACGGAAATCGCGAAAATAATTTTGGTTTCATAATGAATGCCCAGCAGCCTGATGACACAATGAACACCACAAAAAGAATGGTGATAATGTTTAATAGTTCGTAGCTACAGTATCAAGTTTTGTATGTATAAATACAGGTACACACCATAAATATCCATACGGCAAGATATCTGCCCCTCAACAGACAAAAAGCATCTTTGCAGCTAAATAATACTGAAGACAAACCGATCCTGAGGTAATTTTTCATCTAAAGTGACTACAGCCTCTATCAAAACATTCTTACTGTAAAGTTCAAGTGGATATGAAAGCCTCGTCTCATAACCAAAAAGCGTAACTTTAACTAATACACGTTTTCAAACTGAAGCAAAAAAAAATATTTTAATCATAAATAGGTAAAATAAATAAAATTATTCTTGCTGAAACTCAATCATGATATTATTACTTCTTTTTTATATATCTGGGGACTTCTTTGATAACCTGGCCTTTTAACAATAAAAGTGAGATCAATGAAAACTTTCTCAGAATCTACATACTATTCTAATGCAAGTTCCACATATATGTAATTTTTATGCATTTTTATTCTGGATAAGCAATCAAGCCATTCTCTTTATTTAAAAAAGTATATCCCAACTTTGTAAAACTTGCTTAATTTCTCTTAAAAGATCACTTCTTAGAAGATGGACACTGACTAGTATGAGAAGGGCATTTTACAGATTTTGGAAATGTCTCTAGAAATACATTGTTCTTCTTACCAAGCGACTTTAGAATATTTGTTTTACTAAGTGTTAATTATAGCAGTAGAAAGTCTAAATCACTTTTTTTCCTCCTTTATTTCTCATTATACAAAATCCCCATGCTCTTATTGCTTTAACATTGTACCTGCAAGAATCTGACTGGCACCAAGTAACACCTCGATTTACAAGTATCAAAGTACAGACTTTCCAGTTATGACACCCAGAAACATAATTCAGTGAAGGGTCATCCCAAGAGAGGCAATACATTCTGAATCAAAAGAAACAAGCTTTCAAATAATTTTATATTTTGTAGTGACCTATGGAATCAACATTCACTATGTTGTTCTCAGAATGAAATCTTTAAACAAGAGAGTATATAAACCCAATATTACACATCACTTTGAAGTCGTCATCCAAAAATAAAAACCAACACTAAACATATTGTTTCTCTGCCCCTGACCACAGGCCATTCATTTGCCGACTCCTCTTACAGTAGGCTAGACAGCAACCTTCAACAAAATTACCAGAATAATCTTCGAAGTAAAAACAAAATGCGTAATTAATTCCTTACTTTTCAAAGCTCCTTGATTCTTGCTTTAAAATAAACAAAGTGGTTTTCTAACATTCTCACAGCCCCCCCCAAAAAAGGACTTCTGCAAAATCTCCATCAGACATCCATTTTTAATGTATCATCTTGGCTTCCGAGGGCATCCAAAAAGCAAGTGAAAGCTCGCTCCCAATCTTCTCCATTACAAGGCATTTCTTCTAACCGATGAAATCTGCACCTATCGGGAAATCTTCCATTTTAAAAAAGAATCTATCGATGAAATTTGCACCATTTCAGCAATCTTTCGTTTTCAAAGAATCTCGTCATTCAAAAGTTCCAAAGCAATCAGGTTCCTGAGCGGAAGAGTTTGGATAACAGATTCAGAAGTTTCTGCCGGAAATTCAGTTTGTCTCCAAATTTCCTGAGCTGAATGGCACACTCCACTTCGAGCTCTGAAAAAGAAAAGAAAAGCCACAAAACTTACACTGACACTAAAAACTGCAACCAGCAAGAGTTAAAATGCCCATCCAAGGGACAAGCTGAGTATTTACTCGGTGAAGTATTTATCTTCATTTTAGCTTTATGTACACCCATTTTCTGAATGTGAGAAAGGTGACTTAGCTTGCACCCACACACCACACCCTAACACACTGTGACTCATAAATAAAAAAGGAATAAGAGTAAGAATAAAGACATTTACTTTGAAATCTTTTTTTTTAATATTTTATTTATCTATTTGACAGAGAAAGAGAGAGAGCACAAGCAAGGGGAGCTACAGGCAGAGGGAGAGGGAGAAGTAGACTCCATCCCAGGACCCGGGGATCTTGACCTGATGCAGATGCTTATTAACCAGGGCCACCCAGGCACCCCAGGATTTACTTTTTAAATGGCAGTAATTCACAGCTCAGACTATGCCTTCATTCATAGACAAATCTAAACGTGCTCTTACACTCATTGCAAAAGACTGAAATTTTCTCATAAGACTCATAAAACCTTGTAGCAAAAGTAAGTCCACATTCTCTAAAATACCTTAGCAATTTATATTTGCCAATTAAACCAATTTCTTCCTACAAACCGAATTCCTACCAATCCATTGCCTTTATTGAGTGAAGCAGAAGAATTTTAATTTACAAGTTTACTGCTTTTTAGAAGTGAGATGTTGTAATTAAATGAATATTAATTTAAGAAAAAGGATTCCAAAAAAAAAAAGAAAGAAGAAAGAAAGAAAGAAAGAAAGAAAGAAGAAAGAAAGAAAGAAAGAAAGAGGATTCCGAGGGGGCTTTAGGAGAAAACATGATCTGTCACTAAAAGGGCGGGGGGGGGGGGGTTGTGGACAGAACTAGCTGCTGGTGGTCTCCTTAATCTTTCTGTTAATTATATTTCTATAAATGTAGTAATAAAAAACTGACACTACATGAGGTGAGAGATGTTAAGTAAACCTATTTGGCAATCACACAATATACACATACGAAATCATCATTATTTGATGCATACATAAATCAAAGCTAATGCAATGTGATATGTCACATCTCAGTAAAAGAAAAAAGAAAGTATTACTACCTAATGGAATATAAGAGGTCCCTTTCTGCTGTCCTGTATTATGAACAAAGATAAATGCTCAGGTTAGGCCTCCCTAAAACTGTAGAATTCTTTAACTTCACAAAAGGTGGGCAAAGCTTTTTGCCTCCCAAGTGGGAGCCAGAGATACACAGGGTGCCAACTTAGTCAGGGCCAGATTGTCAATGCATCACTTCCTCTGCACTCCTCAAGGACTCTGTAAAATGAAACTAAGTGCAGGGCACTTAGGTGGCTCAATTGGTTAACCCTCTGCTTTTGGCTCAGGTCATGATCTCAGGGGCGTGGGATGGAGGCCAAAGTAGGGCTCCTGGCTCAACCAGGGGTCTGCTTCTCCCTCTGCCCCTCCTCCCCCTTGTGCTCTCTCAAATAAGTTAATAAACTAAAGGGACCATTACTATCTGATGCAATATGCACCGCTACAGCCCACCCACCCCCTTAGCAGATAGCTGCCTTATTTGGTAAGATTTACAAGGGGGGAGGGTTATATCGAGGGAGGAGGACAGTGGATGGATTACAAAGCCCTGGAGACCAACTCTCATTTCTGCAACTACTAACGACTTAAGAAACAGAACTACAGACGACCACAGTCGTCCTCACTTCCCTAACTCTCCAGGACTGCAATCGTCCTGGCCTCCCTAATTCCCCAAGACCTCCATCGTCCTCACCTCCATCGTCCTCGCCTCCATCGTCCTTGCCTCCCTAACTCCCCAGGTCCTCCATCGTCCTCGCCTCCCTAACTCCCCGGGACCTCCATCGTCCTCGCCTCCATCGTCCTCGCCTCCCTAACTCCCCAGGACCTCCATCGTCCTCACCTCCATCGTCCTCGCCTCCCTAACTCCCCAGGACCTCCATCGTCCTCACCTCCATCGTCCTCGCCTCCCTAACTCCCAGGACCTCCATCGTCCTCACCTCCATCGTCCCGGCCTCCTAACTCCCCAGGACCTCCATCGTCCTCACCTCCATCGTCCTCGCCTCCCTAACTCCCAGGACCTCCATCGTCCTCACCTCCATCGTCCTCGCCTCCCTAACTCCCCAGGACCTCCATCGTCCTCACCTCCATCGTCCCGGCCTCCCTAACTCCCCAGGACCTCCATCGTCCTCACCTCCATCGTCCTCGCCTCCCTAACTCCCCAGGACCTCCATCGTCCTCACCTCCATCGTCCCGGCCTCCCTAACTCCCCAGGACCTCCATCGTCCTCACCTCCATCGTCCTCGCCTCCCTAACTCCCCAGGACCTCCATCGTCCTCACCTCCATCGTCCCGGCCTCCCTAACTCCCCAGGACCTCCATCGTCCTCACCTCCATCGTCCTCGCCTCCCTAACTCCCCAGGACCTCCATCGTCCTCACCTCCATCGTCCCGGCCTCCCTAACTCCCCAGGACCTCCATCGTCCTCACCTCCATCGTCCTCGCCTCCCTAACTCCCCAGGACCTCCATCGTCCTCACCTCCATCGTCCTCGCCTCCCTAACTCCCCAGGACCTCCATCGTCCTCACCTCCATCGTCCCGGCCTCCCTAACTCCCCAGGACCCCCGCCGTCCTCGCCTCCCTGACCTCCACCAGTCCTCCGCGGAAGGGAGGATCTAGCCTACTGCTCGGTGGGGGACCGAGGGCTGCAACCCTCAGAGCGAGCCCCGGCCCCCGCTGCGGAGGCAAAGGGCGGCTCCGGGGGCGCCAGGGCCCGGACAGCTCCCGGAGCCTCCCCCGCGCGCAGCCTCCCCGCGGCGGCCGGCGCGCCCCTGCACTTTCCCTCCCCCGGGCCGGGGCGGGGACGCGACGCATCTCGCGGGAGAGCTGCCCCGCCGCCGCCGCCGCCCTCCCGACCCGCGTCCCTCGAGGCCTCCAGCAGCCTGGGGAGCACCGGGGCCCGGCGGCTCCTCACCTTCGGGGGCCCGCGTGGGGCCGGGCTGCGCGCTCTTGCGCGCCTTCCTGCCGGGCATCTCCGCCAGCGGCCGCGGGGAGCTGCAGCGCACGACGCCCTGCGCCTGGGGACCAGCACGAGCACCTCGGGGCACAGGCGCGCCGGACCGCGGGCAGGACCCGAGGGGCCGCTCCGGTCGCCGCTCGCCGCTCGCTGCTCGCTTTGCGCGTTCGCGCGCCGGCGCCCTCCTCTTATGGGGCGGCCCCGGGGACCGTGACGCAGCGAAACTTGGCTCTGCGCCCGCCCCCGCCCCGCCCCCGAGGTCGCTGCGGGGGGACGTGCCCGGGCCGGTGGACCCTCCCGCCCCGCAGCCCTGCCTTCCCCGGCGGGCCCGGAGCGGGGCGGGGGGGGATCCCGGCGGGGGACCCCGCCCCCCCCCATCCTCCCCCCTTGTCCCCCCCCCCCCCGGACAGCTGCGGCGGTGGCGGAGTCGGGAAGCCGCGAGCCGGGCAGGCCCTCCTAGCGGGAAGGCGGTGCGGGTGCGGGCAGGGCGCTGGGTCCTTATCGTAACCGGCAATTAGGGACTCGGGGCAGGACCCGGAAAGACAGCAGCAAAGGGGAGCTGGGACTCGGAGGGAACGGGTGGCTGCGGGGGTTGAAATGGAGAAAACGTCCATAACAGCAAAGAGGATGCCAGGGGCACGTGACGAAAGTACCACATTGAAACCCTGGAGCCGGCCAGCAAACGGCGGTTTGACTTGGGAGGTGGGAGGTGGGAGGTGGGAGGTGGGAGGTGGGACGTGTGAGTGTGAGTGTGAGTGTGAGTGTGAGTGTGAGTGTGTGTGTAGAGGCGGGCGAGGGGCGAGGGCTTTGCCTGCCCCGCTCAGAAGTGCGTGCGGCGCGCTCCCCCTGCACAGGTGGCTGTCACTCCACCTCGGGACGCCGCTTAGTGACACAGCAAGAGGACAGGCCACCGTACAGGAAAGCTTCAAATGCTTCTGTAAAAGGGGAGGGGAGGTATCGGAGAACTGGAAGCCTACACGGTGTTTGGCGGGTCCTCGGATAATTCCATTAGGATAAAGAGGAGGGGGAGTTTGGACTAAGTTAGCAGGTGTTGAGGGCCGCTTGGTGGAAAAGGCTTGGGCACGCATTTTTCTCATTGCGTCCTCAGAACGACGCCCCGAAGCTGCCACTCGTACCATACAGGCCACTTTACAGGTGTGAAAACTGGTTTACTGACATCAAGGGAATTGCTGGAACGCACGTTGGCAGAAAGCTGTGGCAGGATCTGAACCCGGTCGGGCCCCTACGGTGCAGGAGCTCTCACCCACGGTGGCCTTCCCAGGAATGGGTTTCTTGGGGGAAATGAACGTTCTTAATTATTTGCACTATTATTCATCGAAGAGGTTGCAGATTGGCCACTTAGAGCTGCGTGGTTCCCAGGAGTGTTGTTAGGTACACGTGTTGATTTGCAAAATGTCTTGTGACAATTTGAGTTGGTCACCGACGTTTAAAAATTAAGAAATGGCTATAAAATCTCCGATCTCCGGCGTCCTTTATAAAACGCGAGGCTCTGACAAGCTGGATCCACTCCCCGAGCAAGCGGGGTGACAGTCTCTCCCCCTCAGACCTGGGCGGGGAGCTACGGCCAGACACGGCCAGACACGCTCTCTGCTGTTACTTTTCTCATTTACATTATCTGGGCCCCAGGAGGCATTTGAGCTTGTTTATTTACCTGAAATCATTCAATCAACAGAAACTTGCAAATATTTCCTTATGGCTTGGTCCCTCAGAAGTATAGGCAAGGCTATAATCATGGAACAAAAGTACTCCTAAGTTTAAACAACATAGTCGGGAATTTTGTTTAAGTTTTTATTTATTTATTTATTTATTTATTTATTTATTTATTTATTTATGAGAGAGAAAGAGAGAGCAGGAGGGGAGGTCAGAGAGAGAGAAGGAGACTCCCCCACTGAGCAGGGAGGCCACTGGGGAGCTCGATCCCAGGACCCCAGGATCATGACCTGAGCCAAAGGCAGATGCTTAACCGACTGAGCCACCCAGGCGCCCCTAAACAACTTAGTTTTGGGTGCGGTAAATGTGTAAGGTTAAGGGGGGTTAGAATTCAGGAGTGCTCACCTGCCCCAGGAAGCGCAGCATAGACGCTGCCTCCTAATCTATTTTCTCAAACCTAGTATCCGAAAGCCACTGGGGCCCTCTCAGGGCTCATTTTCACTGACTTACTACCTAACTTTCTGATTGGATGAATTAGTAAACTTCTGACCAAATCTTGCACCCCGAAATGCAGATACGTTCAACAAAAGAAAAGAAAATCCTACAGTTGTTTACCTAAAAGGGTGTGCCAATCCCGTCCTCTAACATTATCATTATAAAAAGGTTGTTAGGCACGTGACCCGTACTAGAGAGGAACCTTTAGCAAGTGGTGCCTTTGGGGAATTGTAAATTCAACTTGCTGAAAGGAGAAGGGAGGAGAGAGGTTGGGGAGGTAGGTTTCAGAGATTGGTCAGATCAGCAATTTTGGGAGGTCAGTTGAAGATTTTGGATTTGAGATGGTCCCTAAACTCTCGGATTTAACATTCTATTAAGGGAATTAGAAGCTGAGCTTGGAAAGGCTTTCTTACCTATATGTTTCTCTGGAAAATGACTTCTTGTTTACTGAGAACTTGCGAGAAACCCAAACAGGGTATTTTTACCCACCGGGAGTGACAACACAAAAATTTATCCTGAAGCATTAGAAGCCCCTGTTATCTGTCACGAAAGAAAAAAAGAAAGAGAGAGGAGACAGGAGGAGGAAGGGAGAGGAGGAAAGAGAAAAAGAAAAGAGGGGAAAAGAATTGGGGAGGATAATTTTTTGAACTATTAGCAGGTATCAGTTTTCATGTTCAAAAGGAACAGTGCAAATCTGGCTATGCTTGTGTTGTCATTAGAGTGTTTTTAAAAACTACTGGGAAAATAAAAACCAAAATCCCAAAACAGAACAGAAAACATGATTAGTAATAGAAGAGTCATTCACATACTATATGCAGAAAATTGGATTTGACAGGAAAACGAAGAGTATGAGAGATGTGTATGGGGAAATTGAAAGGAAGCTGTGACAAAATACATAGGCTGGGGACCCGAGTCTTTATTCCGATAAAAAGAGAATTGCTGTTTTGTTTTGTTTTTTCCTGTAAGACATGCTTGTTAACAGGAAATCAGCTTCATGCATTAAATCAGCTCTCTCTTTAAACAGCCACTGTGCAGGGTTCTGGGGACACAGTTCCCTGCCCCCATGGAGATTATGTGGAAGAGACCAATACCTCACAAATTCAATGCACGTAAGAATCACTTGAAAAAAATTACTTGAGTATCTTGTTAAAAATGCACATCTGAATGTGAAGATCTAGCTGGACTTGAAATTCTGCATCTTAAACAAATGGTGATGGTGAAATGTCTGTTCCTCGGACCCCAACTTGAGTGGGCTGGAGGGTGATGCAGCTAACTACATGGGCAGGTGCCATAGACATACATCAGGGCCACCCAGGGAAATTATGGAGGACTATGGAGTGGCCTGGGAGGGCTATGAAGCAGCAAAGGGCATCTACATCAAGGTTGAGGCATAAATATAGCCAAGCAATGAAGCCAAAGGGAAAAAAATAATGTTCCAGGCAGAGACTGCAGGGCAGTGTGAGGAAGAAGTGGTGAGAGGTGAATGGAGAGGGACCTGAGGACTTTGTGTGTTATCTGGGGGGCTATGGGAGAACCATGGAGGGTTTTAAGCATGTGGGTGATAGGATCAGATTCTAGAAATTTCACTCTGTCTGCAGTGGGACTAGACTAGCTGAGCTAAGAGTGAAGATGGTATGACTCGTGAAGACAGACAGTATGGTCATTCTCATATAAGATGGTAGTGTCAGGGGCATCTGGGTGGCTCAGTGGTTGAGCGTCTGCCTTAGGCTCAGGTCGTGATCCCAGGGTCCTGGGTTGAGTGTCACAGTGGGCTCCCCACGGGGAGCCTGCTTCTCCCTCTGCCTGTGTCTCTACCTCTCTCTGTGTGTCTCTCATGGATAAATAAATAAATGCAATCTTAAAAAAGAAAAAAAAACCAGTAGTGTCAGCAAGGACTGTCGCCATCTTAACCCCTGTCTTATTAAAATTCCCACATTTCCTGATAAGAATTGGACCACATTCTGGTAGAGCAAGACTGGGTATTTTTCAGCATAGATATAATTTTCTCTTAAATTAGTTTATCAAGGCTGCCACAACAAACCACCACAAACTAAGTGGCTTAAAAACAATAGGTGTGGAGGGCACCTGGCCGGCTCAGTGGAGTGTGCAAATGTTGATCTCAGGGTTGTAGGGTCGAGCCCCACGTTGGATAGAAAGTCACTTAAGAGATGATACCTGACCTCGAGTAGTTTACAGTCTAGTTAGAGAAATAAAATATATATGAATTAGCAGCAAGTGATGAAAAATGGATTATAATTTTTTTATGAAATGATGCAACACATGGAAATATTTTTACAAGATAATTAAGAGAAAATAATTTGTATGTTGTATGCTTTTCTGGATGAGTGTTATATTTCACAATTTAAAACAATTTATGTAGGGAAAAGGGAAAAAAGAAAAGACCTGTTAATTATCCTCAGGAGACAAAAGCAACCTGAGCTTCCAGAATAAACAGGCGTAGGAAAAAAGTATAACACCAATAAAAATAATACATAAACAATTTGACCCATAGCATCTGCATAGTGGAATAGGGAAGAAGGAGAGTTGAAATGCATGGTATCATGAGAGTAATCACGACCCATGTGAGACAGAAGTGGCAAAACATGACATAATTGGTAAAAAACAGAAAAGGCGGGGTGGGGGAAGCTAGGAATCAGAAGATGTTTGGAATTTCCAGAGGCTTTGGGTGTTACAATGAGCGCACAGGATCGTTATCCAGCTGTGTGAATAGTTGCTGCCTTTAGTAGAAGGAACAATTTCATTCTGGCACATGGACTTGGAAATGGAGCCTGAGTCCTTGATTATCCTCATTCGTGCCGAATTTAATCTACCAACAGCACCCAAGATCGGCCTCGGGGTCCCTGACACAGAGGACCTGTGAGGTGCGGAAACGTCGGGGGACATCATGCATTTGATATCCACCTCCTGAAGCCTTCTTCCCCAAACTTCCCCAATTCCTCCCTGCTCCTGAGCTTTTGCCCTGGCCCTGGACTCTGCCCA